AACAGAAACAGCAGAGCACATGAAGATAGTCCATCTAACAGTGAAGTTAACCAAATAAAGATGGAAATGACACACAGAACATTGGAGTCGAGAACAGGAAAATAATTAGTGAAATATGTCATCGAACAAGACCAGACAAATAATAAGTTGCATCAACATCAAGCAATAACTAGCTATATGACACGATAGTATGGAACAAATATCATTTCCTACAGCTGTTTCTTTAAGGTTTGACGCTTGAGGAAGCTGAACCATCGTGACCCCACGAGCATTGAATATTGATGCTGTTCAAATTATATTAGATGAGTCAATGTAGGGAAAATTTGTCTGTAACTTGTTATCATCATTTCCAGAAACTTCTTAATTCAGTTACGTTCAACTAAAGAATTCAGAGAAATAGCAGAAGATAAGTTCACAAGACCAAGATAGTTCTGAAATATGTGTGTTCTAGACCTCTTCCTGTGATACAGTCCCTCACCTGCCAAGCTGTTCCAGCAATATAGAACTATATAAAGACTCTTGCCAAGGACAGCTAACGACTAAAGAGACGAAATAGCACATAAAGAATTGAAGAAATGAAGCTTAGGAAAAACTAGGCATAAAAATGAATTGTAGGGCAGGTTGAACAAGGTTTAAATGTCTACACAATTTGAAAGGACAAAAGAGTATAAACATACTCAAACATAACCTGTTTTCTTCTCCTCCAATCTTCCACAGCTTCCTTGGCCATGGTAGCTCCCATCACCACCAGCAACGGTGCAACAATACTTAAAGCTGTAAAAGGTGCCAATGGACTAAACGAAAGACATGCGACAATGAGAAAGTAGATATTTGCAACCCTCCTAAACTGCTCAAATAAGGACTTGGGAATAAAATTAAAAGCCGTATACTTGGTCGTTGAAACATAATTGCCAATGTAATTCAACTGAGCAGCTTCTGGGTTATCAGGGTCATTGCAATATACGACCCTTGAGTAGCCTCTCTGCCCAATCTGAGACTGATCATGTCTGAAGGGGGATTTTAGGCACGAAAATGAATATAATTTGCTAAAATGTATCCTCCTTCTTGGTCGTTGAGGCATTTCTGACATGTGTTCTCTTCTTTTTTCCCGTAAATCCAGCTTTTCACCCAATCCTCCCGCCTTCATCCCATCATTTTGTAAGAGATCACAGAAACACCAAATACGCACAAGTCAAGCACAGATTTCTGCCCTTCGGAGCGAGTATCCTTATTCTATGGAAAATGACAGCACCAACGTTGAAAGATAAACACAAAATTAAACCAAGCTCACCACCCAAGAATGGGTACATTCAGTAAAAATCAAACAGGATCATCACAGTAAGCGGAAAAATTTCAGCTTGATTGGCTAATGAGGTTCGAATCGAAAAGATAAACCAGAATGCCCGCAAGCTCCTTTTGCCTTACTCTGAACATGAAACATACTTAACTTCAATTGCACCACAATCACAGCTTGTTTAAGCTGGAAAGCTGAAGCATGAGTTTTTGTGAATTCCTTGCTCTCTTTGAAAGTTGCAGATGTCTCTTCCTTGTAGGTTCAACCAAATTACAGACAGAGAGAGAAAGTGTGAGCGTAGAAAGAGAAGAGAAGAAAAGTGAAGGCTTTGTGTGACTGGTAGTTAGCTTTGCCGCTTCCATAAGCAACCACGAGAGAGAGACAAACAGAGAAACATAGAACCGACTAACCGTGCAAATTATTACTTAGTGCCTTCACCTCCATTTCACAAAAAGGATCAAGGATCAAAGGATTAAAAAACAAAAATACAAAAGAGACGCGTGAAATTGTGGATCCCCCTAGTACAGATACGGTGATGGTTCCTTCTCGTAAGTGAAGACCGGGAAAGTTGACGCCACGTTAATCACTCGAGACGAGAGCCATTTCCGACAAATTTTCCCTTACACGTGTCTGTATGTTGATGGGTTGATGAGTCATGCCAGCGTTTTAGTCTTCTTCGCGAGGCAATCATTCTATTTTTAAATTTTGACGTTCTAAACTATTTATCATATCCTTTGGTTGAAAAATATAAAAATATTTTTAATTTTTTAAATTATAATTATTATTTTTAAAAAAAGTATTCTTATTAATAATAAATTTATATTTATTATATAATATTTAATAAAAATAAATATAAAAAAATAAAATTAATTTAAAAATAGATAACTATTTTATTAAAAATAAAATTTAATTAAAAATATTTTATATTTTTAAATAAAAGTAATAGCAGTTTTACCTTAAAATAATTAAAATATAATATATCACGTTAAATATCTTAACCTTAATAATTAAAAATATTAACTATAATTTGGATATGATCAAAAATATCACCCGCCATATCAAATAAATTCAATTTAAAGTATATTTTTATTTTTAAATTATTCTTTTAAAAACACTTAATATCATAAATTATCTGTATCATAATAACTTCACCTCACCCTAATTAAAATGTATCGAAAATACACATGAACTTGTTTAATATAACAGATAACATTTTTTAGTTAAATTTAAATTTCATTTTTAACCGTCAACTAGAGTATTTAACATTAAAGATAAATATTTTAAAATTTAGTTATTTTATAAATAAAATTATTATGACAAATAAATTAAGATATTAAATATTTTTAAATAATAATTCAGGATAAAAATTCACCAGAACCTTGTTATTTAATCTAATCGTTGAGGGCTGTTGATTGAAAGACGTACCCAGACAGAGACCGCATTTATGAGTAACTATTTCTTTTTTTTTTTTTTAAGTTGCCGAGTTTTTTTTTTTTTTAAGTTTTAGGAGTAACTGTATTAGAAGTATTTTTTTTTATAACAAAACAGATTTTTTTTAACCCACAGTAAAAAAAATGGAATTATTATGTATTGATTTTAATTGGTTTTCACTTTTGAATAACTTGCAATTTTTTTAATATCAGGTGAAGTTATAGGTGATCAAAGCAGAGAACTTTAACCATATTTTTGCTATGCATAATTAACATTCAACATAAAATAGTAGTATTAAATACATAAAACTGGTACTCTCTCAGATCTGAAATATAAAACTTAATTCAGAATTTGGTTTGGTTCCAAAATATATAATCTCCATATTTTTTATCTTACCTTATTTAATATTTTTTCAATTTTTCTTATTAATTTCACAACTTTTTTCATATTTAAAAAAATGAATCAATTTTTTACATGATTAGGATAACTAACAAACTTGACCAAATTTTTAATCTTTGTGAACTAATTAATTAGGTTTTATATTTAGGATAGAAAGGAATACTATTTATCTATAACAAATAGTACAGATCATTTTAAATTATGTGCAATGTATGAGGTCTTTTTTTATTTAATCCATATCGGGGTTGGGTGCGTGGCTGTGTCATTTTGGGTTCAAGAAGACAAGAACGGTGGCTTCAACACGAGTTTGAAGATACAGAGATGATAATTGACGCGATGGGAGTAGAATCTTTTAGAAAATCTGCAATTTTTCATCCTTTTTATAATATATCAATATCAATGAAAAAGATCAAATAAATATAAATTTATAAAATTTTAAAAATATTTTTATATAGTAAATTTAAAGAGTGATAATATATTATTTTTTCTTTCTTATAAAAAATAATTTTAAAAATATTTTTAAAAAATTATTTAAAAAATAACACCATAGTTTATAAATAATCAACCTTTTAATTTGTATTTTTTATAAATTTTTATCATTTTTTCTTTTTGAATTAATTATAAAAAAATTGATCTTTTAATCCTTCAACTTTTAATTCACTTGTAACTCAATCTCTTAATTATGACTTGCTGTGACTCAGTGTCTCAACTATGACTCGCCCATGACTCAATTCCTCAACTTTTGAATCACTTACAAATTAGTCGCTGAATTTTTTTTAATCTTTTTTCATGTTAGCTTAAATCTCACGTCAATGAGCAAGAGGAGGTATTTTAGAATAATATATGAGCATTTTTTATCTCTCTTATTTGATAATAAATTTTTTTAAAAAATTAAAAAATAAAGATCAAATTATAGTTGAATTAAAGTTGAGAGATTGAATCATAATAAATTATAATTGAAGAATTAAATTATAATGAATTATAATTGAAGGATTGAGTTATAATTTATAAATGAGTTAAAAATTAAAAAATTTTAAAAAAAATTAATTATATATACACATGTTCCATTTAAATAAAAGAAAAGAAGAGAAAAGAAAACCTGTCATTTGAGGAACGCGGCTTATTCGTGTCAGTCTTGTCCATGTCATCCAAATCCAAGCATCCTATTCAATTTTCACGGAGCATATGCTAAAAAATGATGGGTTTAAATCAGTGAGGTCATTTTCTTCGGGGATCCCTGACTGACAGGTCTTAAAATGGAAGGTGACGTGGCAATCCAATCCAGAATCAACGTGATGGATCCAGCGGCAGCGGCAGCTCGTTTTTCCATGGGACTGTAAACTTTTAAAAAAGAAGTTTGGATTTGGATCTCTATTTAATCTACTGAAAAGGTGCTGGTGGTTGAATTTTTTTTATTGGTTACAGTTATCTTTTTATTAAAATAATCTTGTTCAAAATAATTTAGACATTAACTATAAATATTTTTATCAACGGACACTTGATAGGATTAGTAAAGATTACTATCAAATTTCTTAGAGCGAGAGTTTAAATCTTGAAGAGTAACAAATATGATAATTAACATAATTTTAAAGAGGTCATTCCATCAGTACTTTACTATTATCGTAAAATCTTTTTACAAGGTTTTAAATTAATTTAGGACAGACAATAAATTTAAAATATCTTAAAATATTAGATGATTTATATTAAAAAATATAAATATTCTTTTAGTAAATATTTAAATTTTGGTTTGTAACGTTGTGAAGAAACATCCCATTTCATTAGACCAATCCTGTTAGTTGTTGGTTATTAATTAATAGTTCATAAATTAATGATTAAAATAATAGTTAAATTGTGATTAGACTGAATATAGTCAAATTGTGTCCCTTTGAAAAAATTCCAATAAAAGTGGAACGATGCAGGGAAGATAAACATAACTCCTACACGAAGATGACATGCATATATAAAAAAAATGGTCCAAATTTTCATGGAAATCTGTGCTGAGCACACGGTGATCTATTCTTTCTTCTTTCACAAAATATTATAAACAAAGTATCACATTAGATCAATCAAAACATAAATTCAGTGTTTGCGATTCAATTGACCAAATTGATCCAGTTTTCAAAACTATTATTGGATACTCTCTCTGATCAAAGATATGAACATTTCATCCCAACTAATATTAGTGCAAAATATAAGTATCTTAGTATTTATAAAAAAAAATTCTTTCTTAACCCATTATATTTATAAATCTAAATCTTTGTGCATGTAAAGTTATAACATTTCCCTCACTCATTATAGAATGAAACTAATGATAAAAAAAGAAAACAATACTCCCCTGATATTATTTAAAAAATTAAATGTTAAAAAATATAAAATATTTTTAATCTTTTAAAATATAATCATTATCTTTTTTTAAAAGTGTCCATATTAATGAATGACTTCATTATATTTATTGTACGGTATTTAATAAGATAAATATAAAAAGGTAGAGTTGTTTAAAAATAGGTAATTTTTTTATTGGGGTGAAATTTAATAAAAAATGTCTTAAATTTTAAATAGAGAGAGGGTATATACTTTCGTGACAATAAGAATTTTATTCATATGTGAACTATTATTAAAAGGTGTTTATGTTTATGGTGGCAGGTATAGTTGTTTTGTGTGCATGAAACTTTAAATTATCCAAGGCATGCTTTTATCTTGTTTTTCTAATAGGTAAGATAGACAATTTACATGAGCCTCCTTGACTACCACGTACGATACACTACATGTGAAGGATTAGGAATAGGATTAGTTTTTTTTTTTAAATTACAAAACAAATTTAGGCTTAAAAATTCCTAACATTAAAGGAAAAACAAGCAAAACAGATGACACATTTCTATCTAGATAATAAAAACCAATACAACCTGAAGGGGTATTCAAAAAGATAAAGTAATCAGTCACAATATGTATTTCTTTGACAAGACAGTCTGTCACATGATTGGTCTCTATTAGAGTATTGAACATATATGTCTTCAGTCGAAGATAAGAGTTGTCTAGCTTCATGTACTTCTTGCCTAAGTGGATGATTCGGCACACATCCTTGTTGTAAAAGTTGAATTAAAGTTATGCAGTCAACATGATAATAAATTTGAGTAACAGTATATTATTTATTAATTCTCAATCTTTCCATGAGACCTTGAAGTTCAGCAGCTGTAGATGGTAAGAAACCAAGTCATTTTTGAAATCCCATAATCCAATCGCTACTTGAATTCCTAATGACCCCTCTACAAGTAGCATGATTGACTGATTTGTCTGTATCAAGCCTATAATAATTAGTCAGGAGATGTCTTCATTTCTCCTTCAAGCCTTTCATGTTTTGAAAAATTTTATGTTCGAATTTTTCATTTGCCTTTATTTTCATCAGATGAAACTGGATGTTTTGAATAATTTCAGATACATTAAGATGTTTTCCTTTCATTTTTCGTCTTGATTAAGATTAACACGTTGCCACACATGTGACTTTCAAAGTTAGGCTCAGCCTTTCTCGGGCTGATGTTGGGAATCCCTTTGCATCTTGGGTCTCCATAGCCCATGTTCCCCGTGTTTTACTTTTTCATTTCATGATTCATGATTCGAAAGAAGATGAAACAAATCTTGACATCATCTCATGGACTGAAGTCCACAAAGAAGGAAGGCCAGAAGCAACAATAACTGTCCGACTTATGTCTCATAAGAAAAAAAAAAAAAAAAAAACTCCCCGAGTTATTGCGGAAAGCATGAGAATCCATTATGGTGGGTTCCACTCTTTTGCCTGTCATGATCACACACATTCCCCCCCTCGCGGTCGCAAATCTCTTCCGCTCCGTTTTCATCGGCTGATGACCCGGCGAGTTGCGTCTGTCAGAATCTATCATTGGAGTCCTGCTTCTGCATGTCACGAGCAGATGTTCCTCTGTGAAAGTCACACGTTGGCCAATCCTTTTCGTGATCCAAGTCATTTCGTTAATTGATCGAGTTATTACACAAATCAATACATTCCACTTTTTTAATCGAACTTTATAAATTGATTAATTGACTGAGTAATTGATTGAAGTGAATTGATTACAAATTGCCAATTGATGACTACGTTGGACTTTTAAAAGGAACTTTCCTTTTATTTTTCTCATCTTGACGAGTTTAAAAGATTCTTTGTCAACAGATAGAATCGGTAGTGGATTCGATCACGGGATTTAAGGCTTTGACCGTTTGACGTTTGCACAGAGGAGGATGCTCACATAGCGAAAAAGCGTTGAAGCCAACAAAACTTCCAGTCCTCCTCTGTCATCGTCGTCTTCATCACAGTCATCTGAGATCAACTAGAAGCGGTGGCTGACGAGCAGTTGAACTCCAGCAAAATCATCATAGGTTTCCTGGGGGATTCCTTTACTCTGATCAGGTCAGATTCAGTTCTGGTTCAAGTGAAGACTTCCTTGTATCCAATCCTAGGTTAGTATGTCGTTTGTCTTGAATCTTTAATTCAGTGCAGTTCGTTTTTTGATGTCTGACAGTGAAAAAGTTAACCTTTTAATTAGTTTATTGGTTGCATGTTTTTAATGAAGATCGTAGGTAACAAAATTGGAAGCCCGGGTCGCGAAATAACTTTTTCAAATGGACGGGCATGTGTTTACGATGCAAGTCATATTAACTCTGACGAATCAAAATGCTGCTGTCAAAGCGCTAACGAAAAAGAAAAGAAGGTGCGAAGTTAAGTGCTAATACGACTGCCTAGTTGCGGACTTGAGTTAATGGGATAAAATTTATGCTGCCTTCAAGGTTGAAATCTCAATTTATGACCAAAAACATGGAGCATGTATCAGAAAAAAGATTTCCTCTCAATGCTAAAGATTATGAGCTGTATGAAGAAGTTGGCGAAGGTGTTGGCGCCACTGTGTACAGAGCTCTTTGTATTCCACTCAACAAGATAGTTGCAATCAAGGTTCTTGATCTTGAAAAGTGCAATAATGATCTGGTACGTTGACCAACTCTCATACAACACGAGCGCTAATTCCTTTTCAGTTTCTTGTGTATGTGTGATTGATTTGACCTGTTTAACATTTAATTATTATTTTTTTGTGCTAATGAATGTCTTTTGATTTCTTAACTGGCTCTAATAGTGAGGGTCTGAAAGACATATTGCTCGTCATAAAGCTGCAGTTTCTGCATGATAGATCTATGAATTTTCAACGTGACAGGATGTCGTCCTGTAGAAAACATGTAGACAGTAGAAATAATAATATTACAGCATGCATTATAAATAGCCAAAGTTTCAGAGTAGGGGCAATATTTTTCTACTTTAATACCCTAATTTTGGTTGGCAAAAAAAAAAAAAATATATATATATAGAGAGAGAGAGAGAGATTGTTTGATTATATTTTAGCCAAAAAGGTATATATACAGTGTACATATTTCATATGAAAAAGTAATAACCCTTTTTACTCAATATTCCGGCTTCTCCCTCCCTTTGATAGCTCTCTCACTTTCCGATACTCTCTTGGCGTTACCCAACTTCAGACAGGCCATGTTATGCATCCATTGATTTCATATTAAATTCATACAACGTCAGAACTTTGAAATTTATGCAGGATGGCATTAGGAGAGAGGTACAGACAATGACCTTGATAAACCATCCAAATGTTTTATGCTCGCACTGCTCTTTCACTAGTGGACACAATCTTTGGGTGGTGATGCCATACATGTATGTGGGATCCTGCCTTCAAATAATGAAATCTTCCTATCCGGAGGGCTTTGAAGAGCCTGTTATTGCTACTTTGCTGCGAGAAGTTCTGAAAGCTCTTCTCTACCTTCATGCCCATGGACACATACATAGAGATGTTAAGGTATTGTGATCTTGCCAACTTTTGTATTGTGTGTGTACCAGAGCTAGAGTTCTTACTAAGTTGAATTACGAGTGATTAAATCCAAGACTACGAAGATATCTGTTTTTTGGTTTTGTGAATTTACGCCATGCCTTGAAATTGAAACTGAATTATGGAATTTGATACCTTCATATATGGGAGATTCTTTCTATCCGTCCTCCACTTGTTGGACTCGGGGTCTTTTCTTTTAACCCCAAGAAATTTTGACAATTACGCAGGCTGGAAATATTTTGATTGATTCTAAAGGTGCGGTCAAATTAGCTGACTTTGGGGTGTCAGCGTGTATGTTTGATACTGGAGATAGGCAACATTCAAGAAACACTTTTGTTGGAACTCCTTGCTGGTATCATTCAGTTTGCTTGAGGCTTTCTATAGAGTAGTTTATCACATGAAATATCATCATAAGCTTTAAGCCCTACATTTTCTACAGGATGGCTCCTGAAGTTATGCAACAACTACATGGATATGATTTTAAGTGAGCGTCTCTTATTTTTCCCACTCACTTTCCTTGCTCCTGTGCTTCCTTTCCATAATGTTCCCTGATATTTTATATTCTTTCTTTTTAACAGAGCAGACATATGGTCATTTGGTATAACAGCACTTGAACTTGCTCATGGCCACGCCCCATTTTCCAAGTATCCTCCAATGAAAGTAATTTGCATGTCTGCTGAATATTCTTTCCTGCACCCACTGATAACCCTTACCTGCTAATTGTTTTTATGAATTCTGAGTTGACCCTTTCTGCTTCTTTTCCTTGTTACAGGTTTTACTGATGACTTTACAAAATGCCCCTCCTGGCCTTGATTATGAAAGAGACAAGAGATTTTCAAAGGTTTGGTTCTTATTTAAATTTTTCTGGATTTTTGCCTTCAAAAAGTTGTTTATTAATTGTTCTCCTTCCCTTCCTAGTCTTTCAAAGAGATGGTTGCCGCCTGCCTAGTGAAAGACCCAAAGAAACGTCCAAGTTCAGAAAAGCTTTTAAAACATCACTTCTTTAAACATGCTCGCACCAGTGAATATTTATCTCAAACCATTTTAGATGGCCTTGCTCCATTAGAAAATCGTTTTAGGATGCTGAAGGTTAGCGGTTTATTCCTGAAACTTTCCCTATTCAATGTGAACAGTCTATGGCGATTGCTATCATTCCTGTAAACTGCTCGTCTGTTCCAGGCAAAAGAAGCAGACTTATTGATGCAGAACGAGGCTCCTTACGAGGATAAGGAACAATTATCACAGGTGTTTTAAATTCTGTAAAGTAAATGTTCACTTTAGTATCTGACGTTAGTTATCCTATTTTACGTTCATCTTCTTGTCAAGGTTAGATGCATGCTACTTTGCCGGAATGTGTTCATTTTGTTAAGTTACGTGCAATTTTCGTTCTATGAAGTTGCCTTTTTGTCTTGCTTTTGAGTCTTTTTCATGCTCCAGATGGTTGGACTGATTAAAATGAGCTCTATACGTCCATATGTTCCATGGTGTTACTTTATCATTCCATCCGTATATTTCCTGTACTCCTTGCATGGTTTTGTTATGGCTAGAATTATCTTTATAATCAAATATATTTATTTGTTCTGATAAGATTAGTTGGGATTTTATCATATTAAATCTGTGATGACCTCCCTGTTGATGATTATTTACGACTGAATACTATTGTTGTTATTATTTTACCGGTAAATAAAGTCATAGAAAAGAGTGGACTGCAAAAATATTTAGTATTTAGTAATGATAAAAAAGGATTATGTAAACTAAGTTTGTATATAAATTAAGTTCGTGTGCACTGAAGAGATAAATCTAAGTCAACATTCTTGTGAATCTTTAACACACCACTAATTCATTAAAGATAACTTCCTTTTAGCTCCTCTTTAAGAACTAGATGTCACACAGTTGATATGATGTAACACACACACACACACACACACAATTTCTATTGTGGAAGAGATTACATGAAAGGGGAAGTTATTTGCAGAATTCATTTAGAGAAGAAGAATAACTTTTAGCAAAATTCATTTAGTATTATGTAAACTACGCTTGTGTGTAAATTAAGTTCGTATGCACTGAAGAGACAAATCCAATTCAACATTCTTGTGAATCTATGATATATAACATACACCACTAATTGATTAAAGATAACTTCCTTTTGGCTCCTCTTTAAAAACTAGATGCCACAAAGTTGATATGATGTATTTTGTGTGTGTGTGTGTGTGTAAGTATATATATGAATTTCTATTATGGAAGAGATTACATGGAAGGGAAACTATTTGCAGAATTCATTTATAGAAGAAGAATAACTTTTAGCAAAATTCATTTAAAACTTAAGGATGCTATTTCTCTTGCCTGAAGTGCGTGTTTATGCTTAAGCAAACCTCAAACAACTGTATGCTGAATTTGTATGCGGTGCCCATGGATCAATGTAGTTAGCGTGCTTCCAATTTTGAGGATGTTAAAATCCAATATATCTCCCTTTACTTAGATTGTGGTGGTTTTTCTTTTTGGTCTTCATGTTTCCTTTGCTTTGTAGCTTGGTTGTATTTGTTTTTAATTGACATCCTCTCTTGATTCCAAAAAAAAAAAAAAAAACAATATATCTGAATTTAATAATGTGATTAAACTTTCAGAAAGAATATATACGGGGAATTAGTGCTTGGAATTTCAACCTTGAGGATTTAAAAGGTCAAGCTGCTCTAGTGAGTATTTTTACTTTACTACAGATTATTATCTGGATTTCTTACATAAAACTTAAGCGGAAAAGTTAGGCAATATTGGACATTTCATTCTTTACTCCAAAACCATCTATGTGTTGACTGCAGATTCAAGACGATGACATGCCAGATGCAGAAGAGACAGGTATGGATAAAAAGCAAAAGGAAAGGTCTGATAATGTTGGGATTCCGGCAGAAGGGCCTTCTTCTGGAGCAGCTAATCATTCAGATACTACACCCGTACTGGGAAAGGAGGTGCCCTTATTGAGTTATTGTCATTTAATGATCAATTAGCATATCTTCCTATAATATTCGTTTTGACCTTGAACTGAAGACCTTTAATTCTAAGCATGCTCTCTTTTTCTGGATTCATTCTTGTCTTGGCATTTGAATGACTGTTATTTTAGGACGGGTTCCATGATCTTCAAGACTTGGAGAGTTCACTTGCTTCATTTCCTATTAAACCTCTTCAAGCTCTTAAGTATGATTACTTCCTGACCTTTTTTTTTATTTTCTATTTTTTTATTTTTTTGGTTTTTTTTGGTCTTTTATGGCTCTATCATTGTGTTTTGATCCTGATTATTTGTGGATTTAGTGATGCGGTAGCTTTTTTTTTTTTTGTTTTGTTTTGTTTTGGTTTTGGCATTCAAATAGTGTTCACTATCACTGGTTAAAAAAGTGGGGACTCTATTATCTAGGTATTCACTAAAGTCCTTCCTTTATCAGGTCGATGGTTGAATAAACCTTAATATGTACTCTAATGTGGCACATTTTCCCCTCATACACTCCATACAGACATTCTATTAATGTATATTCATTATGCTATGTTCGTCTCTTGTGGAAATGTTTCTTTTGAAATCCTTCAGTTTTTCAGTTCTTTTCTGAAATTTCTATTTGTAATTCATTTTCTTTCTGACAAAAATAATGTTGCAATACTGAAGTTATTGAAAGTGATAATTTGTTTCCAAAGTATTGCATGCTGCCATTTTCCAATGTTCTTTTATCCCAAGAATATAACAACAACAACAAGCCTTACCCCACTAGATGATATTAGCTATATGGATTGCAAAATGTCATTGTGCTCTATCATCAACCAAGTTTTTAAGAATATTGTTAATCAAGAGGTCTTATTCAATAATTTTCATAAGTGTTCTCTTTAGTCTTTCTCTGTTTCTCTTTATAGGGCTCAAGATTATCTATTTTATTTTTCTCACCAGTGCCTCCCATAGCCTTTATTGTATATGTTCAAACCTTCTCAAATGATTTTCTTTTATACCAAGAATAATTGTGCAAAATTAACGATGTAGCTCATGTTTCAATGTTGAAGCTTTTTTCTTCTTTTTTAATGGAAACTTTGAAGCTATATTTATTTGATGTATAAATCATGCAGAGGTTATTTTGACGTTTGTGAGAACAGTGTCAACAGTGCTGCTTTGGGAGATTCAGATCGGCATGATGGAAGAAATGAGAATGGCATTTCTGGGACAAGTAATTCATTACCACAAAATGCTATAGCTGAGCATGTAAAGTTGAGTGCTTCTCTCCTTCTTGATGGTTCTTTTTCTGCTAAAAAAATTATTACTCTTGGGGAAAGGTAGGTTTGTTTTCTTTTCCTGCTACTGTGATTTATCTTCTGTTTTTGGTATCTGCACTCTTTGCAGGCCTTCTAATCAGATGCTTCGAGAATATTCCTTTATTTAAAGGACTTAAGCTGGCTTTACATAGGCAGGCACCTTATGTGTCTCTATACAGTTGTAAATTTGCGTGATGTAAAAAGGCTAACTTAAATAGTACAAGCCCAGCGCAATAATGATCAACTCTTAAATTAACCTAGCTTTCTCTAAATTGTCATCCTAACACTTCCTCTTAGTTCAAAAATATCAAAATTGTATCTTGTTACAAAGAAGACCCAATTATATTAAAGGAACAGTTTATCTCAGCATGGAATCCTACCTAAGCATGAGGACTTACATGATCAATCAATTGCAATTACAATTGCCTTTTAAGAGCTTAGCAACTATTAATTTATCTCATTTTTCATACATGGTATTTATGTAACATTTCATTCAGAGGGTTCTCAGCATCCCAGATGGCGTACCAGGAATCAATGAGGGCTATAGACAACAAAGATACTATCCTGCCGTCAGATCTAGACTTAACAAACAAAGTAGGATTAGTCTAACATTGATTATACTTGAAACCTTTCGCCATGAATCTCTTAAGGTTTCACGAATCCACCTCAAATCCAAATTTCAATAGGTAGAAGTTAAAGAGAATGGAGAGGGCAGTAAGATTATCACATTACCTTAGATTTTTTTTTTTGGCCTTTTCTTTTTGTTCCAAATTTAATAAGGCACAAATTAAATCTTGATTATGCAGGATGTCATACATTGTGCATTCCCTACCCTCTTTCCTCAAAATTGGAATGCCTAACACTGTATATAAATTTTGCCCATAAAAAATGTTTGACATTCATGAAAGTGAAGAAATATTCTGTATTTACTGATACTGTGAGAAAGAGAAAGTAAGTACAGAATATTTCTTCTCTTTCTCAATACTACAAATAGAGGCATTGTTTGTGTCATTTTTTTATTCAGACTCTTTATCTTTTCTATTTCTGAGAAGTACTGTTCATCAATGTTAGCCAAATGTTTGTTTTCGTGGTTGTTTCAGAATTTGTGGAAATTTTGATATTTCTGTTGTGTTTTGATCTGTGAAAATTGAGATAATTCATCATTAGTAGACATGCTTGTTACTTTGATATTTCTGCGGATTTAAGTTGCAATATTCATATTTGCTAATATGTTTGTGTATTTAAAAAGGGATTATCTGCAGCAGAAATGTTACCACGAGGGGAATAGTGGTCCATTGTTGTATAAGCAGAAAAGAGAAACCAACAACCTCTCATCTGGTATGCCTGTTGTCTAATTTGTTAATGTGATTGTTATCACTATCAAATTTATAATATTTTTCTTGTATCTAATTAGACTTGGGTAATCTACAAATTCCATTGAGAAATTGTTATTAGTGCATTTATAATTATAATTATCTTTCTATATACAGTTGATGATGCATCAGAAGCATTTGTCCAGCGTAAGGGGCGATTCAAGGTCACATCAGCAGATCTCAGTCCCAAGGTGGGTCATGTGTTCCATGGCAGATCTGCCGTGCTTCCTTTAACGCCAAACAATTAAAACTCTAATTTCATTGCTGCAGAGAACTCATAACCTGTTGTATTCAATTTTTCCATTGGAATACTGTATGGACATGAATTGCGGTATTTGGACTCATGAGGGAGCATTCAAAAATCTAGAGTTTTACATTATCTTTGTATACTGAACGGATTTAGGTATATTGTCATGTGTCAGAGTGTTGCTCTTTCAGTAAAGTCTCATTATATGTTGGTAATTTCAATTTTTGAAATTGGTGCCCCATCCTTGGTTACCTTTGGGGATGATATAAAAAGCTATTGATGCGTTCTTAAATGTTTGACTTCATTTTTTTTTTTTAAGGAGGATGGAACTTAGGTGATTTTACATTTTAGGCAATGGCTAATAACTGTTGCCATTTCTTTTACTCATTCAGGGTCCTGTGAACTGCACTTTTGGTCCTGTTTGTAGAGGTCTTTCCAGTCCACCAGAACAAAACCCTACTTCTGCCTCTATTCTTGCATCACTGCATTTCATTTTGCAGCAGAACAGTTTGCAAAGGGTATGTTTTCGTTTTATATCTTTTACCTTTTATTTTAATTGAAATAACAAGTCTAAAGGACATCATATTTCAACAAATTTTGACAGGAAGAGATTATTAAATTAATTAAGTACGCAGAGCAATCTTGTGGTAATGGTTATATTCTTCTCAATGTGTGCATTTTTTTCCTTTGATACTGTGGGCGGATCTGATTATTTTCTTCACTTGCTACAGGTAGTAATGTAGAATTTGTGGAGGCAGGGATTGTTGATCTTTTGCAGGTGGATGTTTATCCTTATTCTTTATAGCTTAGAAACCCACTGTTGTACATTTTATGATACAAATGACCTGTGTCTAAATGCCACTTTGGGTGGGCTTGGCATACCATAATAGTTGTGATAGCGCAGAAACACTTCAATTAAAATGTCAATTTATTACTTACACACAAGTAATCAAGCAATCGAGCAAAAAAAGATTAAAAACTAACTGGCGACTTGTTTCATGAGGGGTCAGAATTGTATGTCCATAAATATCTTTCACATAATGGAGAATGAAGAGGGACTATGGCTGAAATTATTTTTAATGTATTCATGGCTTTCTCCTTCAGTTTGTCCGCATTTACAGTGTTTCACATGGTGCATCTTAGAAGCATGTAAAAAGTGCGCCTGCGCGCGCAGTTGGTCTCACATTTCCTCTTCAATGTTCCAACCATCCTGAAATATGTGCCTTTATTTTTCCTTTTTTTTTCAAGTTTACCAAGTGAAAAAGAAGAATTTGGGTCTATTAAGTGTATTTGGTTTTTAATTAGTGTTCAATATTTCCGTTTTGCCAAAATCGTTGGTACAGGTGATGGAATCTAATCTGACCCAGGTTTTTAATAAAAAAAATTACATACATGTCTCACTCAAAACAATTGATTACTCTCATGTCCATTGACAGGTATGACCTAAACTCAGTTGTCAATAGATCTGTAAGTAATTAATTGTCTTAAGTGAAACCTTGGAATAATTCTCCCTTTTTAATACCCAACATTTAATATTTGTTTACCAAGAGTACGCAATGGCACAAAGCTGCATGAGACGGAAAGATACAGAAAGATTCTGTTATGGTGGAACTGGGATGATATTAAAATTTAGGCAGAAGTTGAAGGGTAGAAATTCCGTTGGTTGAAGAGAGATTTCAAGAAATATTCTTTTTAGACAAGTTTTCCCCCTGACCTTTCAGTTGAGCTCATTTGTGTGACTTGCAGGTACCACCCACAACAATTAGGGAGAGAGAGTTGCATCTTCAGGTGATCGAACTCCAACAGAGGTACATGAATGTAACTAAATTTCTTCTGATCCTTGAGTTTAAATTCAACACAAATCTTATTATCACCGCTTACGTCAGCATCGAGAAGCTTGTTGAGGAATTGCAAAGGCAAAAGGTGAAAAGTTCCCAGGTACTTCTGTCACATATAGTGCCTGGTTTTCCCTAAAGCATGTTTAAAGCGTTTCCCTCTTTATCATGAAATTAATGCTGTGCTTGGCTAGCTAACTAGGAATGAGAGAGAATGAAGAAAAGGGAAAAGTATCGAGGTGTAATTTTTTTTCATTGTGCTTGACTAAGTGAGAGGGAAAGAAAAAAAAAATTATTAATTTTATATAAATAATAATAACCTTATTATTTATAAAAATATTTATATAATAAAATTTAATATTTTAACATATTATATATATAATAATTTCTATCATATATTATCAATTGAACAAAAATATGATTAAAAGTTGTTTTATCCAATTTAAAATTTTATTTATTAAATTATTAAGTATGCAATAATCTTAAAATTTGAAAATACAATCAAATATAAGATACTTAATTGAAAATTAACCTAAAAAATTAGAATTGATATTTATCTAATTAATCTAAAAATTAAATTGACAAAAAGTTCATTATCAAAATGTAACTACAATACAAATATCATAATAAAAATAGAGGAAAGTAAGAGGTGGCAATTAAAAAAGTGGCAGGTAAATTTAAAAATGAATTTTCTTTTTTCAAAATATTCTCATATTTGGAGAGAAAAGTGAGAGGAAAATAACATGTGGGTACTTTTCTCTTTGTAGCCAAGCGATAGTTTTCCTTTCACTTTTCCCTCTCACTTTTCTTTACTTTTCTCTCTTGCTGAACATAGCATAAGAAATCTCTCTCTCTCTCTCTCTCTATATATATATATATATATATAATATAAACTTTAAAGGTTAAGGTACAAAATCACCCTCAATTTTTCCAGCCAAGTGCACCTCATATCTTAAAGTATTTTTTCGCGTAATTTTGCTCTAACATTTTTTGTTTAGGTACAATGTTACCCCGTCCAAACAATTTGACCATATTGACTGTTAACTAATTAAATTTAATTGTTAAATAGCTTGTTGGATAGCTAGACAGGAGTCCAGATCAAATTTATTGTTGCCACGTCATTTCTTTTTCTTCCTCCTTCCTCGATTAGAAACAAAAAAATCTCCCAAGCCAGCATTCAATTAACAACCAAATATCCTATGGAAATTGAAAGAAATATATTTTTGATTGATGTTAAATTATGTGTTACAATCAATATATATCCACAAAGTTGAGAGACAAAGTAATGAATGCTAATAACTCCTGAATCCCTAATAATCAGGCTAAGAGATTTACAATAAATTTAGATATTCGCACACTCCCCCCATCATAGATGCTAATAATGTCGAACTTGCTTATACAATTCTCAAATGCAGGTCTAAGTAACCCTTTAGTTAAAACATCAGTTGCTTGTAACTTTGTAGGCAAATATGTTAAACATGGAATTCCTGATTCTACTTTTTCTTAATAAAGTTTTGATTTATCTCAACATATTTAGATCTGTCATGTTGTATTAGATTTAAAGGCCATATTTATAGTAGCCTTATTATCACAGTAGAGCTTCAATGGTGAGCTTGTTTCAACTTGTATTTCATTCAAGACTTGTTTCAGCCACAATTCCTCTATTATTCCTTAAGCTAATGCTCTCAATTTAGATTTAGCACTACTTCTTGAAACAACTCTTTGCTTCTAGCTTCTCCATGTAACTAAATTTTCCCACACAAATGAATAATAGCCGGGGGTTGATCTTTGATCTTTATATTCCACCCTAACTTGCATCAATGTAAAATTCAATGCATCTTTCCTCATATTTTCTAAAGAACAAGCCTCTATCACAAGTACTTTTTAGATATCTCAAAATCCTATAAACTGCCTCTATGTGACTCTTAATTGGACAGCTCATATATTGACTGGCTACACTAATAGCAAAGGCTATATCTAGCCTCGTATGAGAGATATATATCAGTTTTTCAACTAGCTTTTGATATTTCTCCTTGTCAACTGCTTCTTCCTTTCCTTCAACTTCCTCCTCCTCTTCTTCATCTTCCTCATTTACCTTAGGTTTCTTTTTCGATTTCTTGACCTCAATAGGAGTTTTAATGGGTTTGTAGCCTAGCATACCTATCTCCGTCAGGAGATCAAGTATATATTTTCTTTGAGAAACATAAATTCTTCTTACTGACCTAGCAACTTCCATCCCAAGGAAGTATTTTAATAACCCGAGATCCTTGACTTCAAATTCCTTGCCAAGGAAAGCTTTCACTCTCTCTATCTCCTCAAGGTAATCTTTAGTGAGTATTATGTCATCAACATGGATAATAAGAATACATTTCTTGCTTCCTTCGACCTTAACAAACATTGATCCGACAAGGCTTGCTTGTAACCTTCAAACTTTAGGACTTTTGAGAACCTATCAAACCAAGCTTTTAGTGACAATTTCAAGCCATACATAGACTTTTTCAATTTACAGACTTTATGTTCCCTGTCTTTATAGAGCCCGGGAGGTAGAGTCATATAGACTTCTTCCTTCAACTTGCCATTCAAGAAAGCATTTTTGATGTTAAGTTGATAAAAGGCCACTCAAGGTTAGCTGCTATAGACAATAAGACTCTAATAGCGTTCAATTTTACCATTAGAGCAAAAAGGTTTCTTCATAATCTAAACCATATGTCTGGGTAAACCCCCTTACAATCAAGCATACTTTCAACTTGTTAAGAGCACCATCAGTCTTGTATTTTAAGCTGAATACCCGCTTATAACTCACTGTTCTCTTTCCTTTAGATAACCAAACAAGTTCGCATATCCTATTCTTTTCTAAGGCCCCCATATCTTCCCTACTAGCGCTTCACCATTTAGGGATGCTTAAAGCCTCTTGCATAGTCTCAAGTATCTTCACCTTATTAAGATTAGTAACAAAAGCCCGATACTAAGGAGAAACTAAGTTGTATGAAACAACCTCTCTTGATGGAAAATACATGAGTAAGGTTGCTTTCTCAAAGCAATAGGAAGATCAAGATCAACAAATTTACTTACTCGTTTTGTACATTCTAGTTTTGGGGTTTTGGGAATTACCCTAACTTCTATGTCACCATAAATTTTTGCTTCAAAAACTACCTCTGGTTTAGACTCTCTTAGTGTTTTAGGTACAAGTTACTCAACTATCTTTTGATTTCTTTTTCAAATATAAACAAACAACTCTCCCTTTTGTGGTTTTTCTGTATCTTCTCTTGCCTACATGTGTTCTTTATGTTGTGGCATAAGAGGAGATGGTGGTGTTGTTAGGGTAGGTGAAAGTAATGGTTCAAGGGTTTGTGGTGGTAGTAAAGGCTCATTCGATGTAAATCATAGTTCAAGAAGCACCAATTCTCTGTTAGGTTCTTGTCTTTAAGTCTGAGATTCACTTATGTTCTTCCCCTGAATTGAAGGATTAGTATAGAAAGGAGTATCTTCATGGAAGGTAACATCAAGGCTAATAAATGTGTGTTTTAAGACAGGATCAAAGCATTGATATCCTTTCTGAGTAGTAGAATAGCCAAGAAAGATGCATTTAGTAGCTCGAGGGTTAAGTTTAGTGTTTTGGTGGTTACAGACAAAGGTTGTGCAACCAAATATACAAAGTGAAAGATTGGTTTCAATGTAAGATATGGAGAAAACCTTTTGTAATTTGTGAAGAGGGGTGTCAAAGAATAAAATTCGACTATACGTACGGTTGATCAGGTAGATTACGATCAAATTGGCATTCCCCCAAGAGAACTTGGGCACATTACAAGTGAACATGAGTGCTCTAATGAAACATTCCTACTCCACTAAATATAATTAACCAATATAGCTCCTAGTAATAAGAGATTTAACTCAAAAGATGATTAATAAGGTTTAATTTAAAAGCAAGGGATCCTAAATTTTTTAAATGACAATGAGTTTAAATCAATGCAAACCCTTTATATCAGAGTAAAATAAATTTTAAAAGCATGGAATATCTCAAAAGAGTGAAAGAAGTCGAAAATGGTTGAAAAATAGGGCAATGCATCGCGGCTCTTGCACGCTGCACCAGGGCATGTTACACAAAATTTTGACTAATTCTGCTATCATTTGGCAGCAGAATCAGGGAACTTCTGACTCGCTCCAATTCTCCGTCCGACATTCGAATGACGTGATCTAGGTGTCTACAGAAAACTCTTTATATAAACTAGCTAATGACATGGGTTTCACTTCCAAAACAAGTCACACTAGGAAGTTAGATACTTAAACAAGTTTCAACTACTTTTCACAACTTTAACACAAAATAGGTGTCCAAAACTCTCAACATGTGCCAAAAGCTTTTCCTAACACCTGGATCATATCCAATGGATTTAAAGCTATCAGTACAACATGTCACAAGGAACAACAGAATAACAAAAATTCACTCCTCAACCCCATTTTACCAAAAACAAAAGGGGTAAATCATCATTGCATTTCACCCGAATCATTCAAAACATGTTTAATTCATTGTTTCTACACTTGCACCAGTATTTTAGCCATATTAACAAATATATGTCAATATACACAAAGACTTGCCCAAAATACCAATCTAACATTTCCAACAATAAAATCGTGCAAGTATGATGGCATGTATCCTAAATTCGCAAACATGTGCTATTACACAAATATAAACTAAGCTAGAGGCATATAAAAAGGAATATGCTAATTCCAATCTCTTTAGCCTTCTTCCTCTCAGCACCAGAACTAGAGCTTGAAAATGTTGAATGAAAGGGGTGAGCCTAGCTACTCAGTAACCAAGGTTAAACCTACTCTATACAGTTATATATCAATTATAAACCAAATACATGGACAAGGAAATCAAGTATGTAAAACATGCTGGTGTATATCATATCTTGTCATTTATCATTAAGTAACTTCTTTAACTCTCATAATTAGGTGCATGGTCACTATATTGTCAAATATGTAACATGACCTATATTCATATGACTTGCCACCACTTAACACGTGTGACACGTTATTTTTTACTTAGGCAATGATCAACCAACCTTATATCCTCCTTATTTTCTTAAATCGAAACTGTGGGCTATAATATTGATTAAGGCTCCGTCGGTGTGACTAGACTACCCAAGCTCATTAATTGTAAGGTATGAGCCGGCTAAAAATCACATGACTCACTCTTGAACCACGGCTTCCCCCATTCTTGAATCCTTGGGGTGTTTTGTATCCTAGACTATTTTCCTCATTGAACCAGTGGAGATAACTAGGTTTTAGTCCCTCGACAAACTATAGGACAGTCTCTCGACAAACTGTGGGACAAAGCTATACCCTCGTGCACCGAAGAGTGGCTTAAATACCATATGGATTTTCTTTACTCTCAATTCCTAGGTGAACTCCTACCACTGATCATGCTATAATCAATACTTACTTATTTTTACATTTTCATTTTTATTTACTTATTAATATAGTGATCACCTTGGGCTTACAACTGTGCGCTATCCAAGTATGTGTTCTCATCATTTGCTCAATATTATTCTCACTTATATCAAATTTTTCTTCTCATTAACACATAATTACTTCTACACAATATCACATACATTTTCAAAAAGCATTAACATGTTCACAATTCAAAAATCCTTTTAACTTCACATTTTGCATTGTCAAGCCAAAAGTAGTATTATGCACATTCAAATTTTCATATACTCATTAAAACTAATATATGGTTTTACTTTAAAAAAATCAACCCCTTGCATGTAACATTCACAATTCACATTTAATAATTAATTAACATATAACTACTCAAAGTAGGGTTTCTCCGGTTACCTCAAACTTTTGAGAGGTCAAATGTTTACCCCTCAATCTACTAGCTTCTAAGCTTGAATTTCCAATTCAATAAGTGACCAAGAGCCAAAATTACAATCAACCAAGTTGAAATTCACCAACATTACCAACTTAAGCATTTGCACCCTCAATCTTCACTTCTAAATTATCCAACATTCACTTTACATGAGTTGGAATTTATCCATTGGGTTTAATAATTACCTTTAGTCCCCAATAATATTAATGAATCATTAAATTCTCATTAATGGCATCACATTCTTACAACCACCTGTAATAAATGAGATTTTTGGATATTAATAGTGCCCAACAACCTAAGACACCAAAACTCATTATACCTAGGTTTAGATACTCTAATCTACTTTCATTAACTCTATTTAAGTCAATAAATTCAGACTCATAACCTATATGAACCGAAATTTCACTTTCACTATCAAACTCTAACCATAAAACTCATAAATGTGAAAGAAATGGGGAGATTAATGGGTGTGATACTTACCTTGGGTGTTTGTAGCCTTTAATATACTCCTAATATTGTCCACAAGTAAATTTTAGCAAAGCTTGGCGCGTCTCTTCATTTCCTCTTTTCTTTTTCTTTATTTCTGTCTCATTTCGTGTTTGATGAACTACAAAAATGACCATGCGTTGCGGTGGATACATAATGCACCATGACGTATGGCACAAAGAGGTCCTCCCTCATTCAGAAGCATTTATGGGCCGTGGTAGATGATCTCCACGCCATGACGTGTGGCATAGCAACATCAACTCTTTCTTTTCTTCTCCCTTTGATGCCAGGGTGGCCTACCTTGATATTGGACTCACAATTATGGCTAAAATACCATTAAATATGATTATTAGACCTCCCTAACCACTCATTACCTTAATTTAATTAATTACCCTAATTAAATTTAATTAATCAGGGAATTTAAACTCAGGATGTTACATCTAACAACATCAAAGATATGATGATTTTTTTTTCAACAACCCCATTTTGTGAAGGAATATGGGCACAAGAACTAATATGAACAATACCATGCATTTGGAGGAAAGTACTCAACAATTGGTTAAATCACTCAAAGCCATTATCGATGTATAAAACTAGGATGGTGGTGTTGAATTGAGTTTTGATCATGTTGAAGAAAGTCATGAACGTGGATTAGCCTCAAACTTGTTTCTTAAAAGATAAACGCAACAAACATAAGTGTAATCATCAATGAAGGAAATGAACTATGTTGTTTTAATATGATTGGAATACAGGATGTTCCCAATAAGTCACTATGAATGGTTGTGAAGATTTAGTGGGTGTGTAAGGGACTTTAGGAAAGGAAGTTCTGTATGGTGTTTGGCAACTCCACACACTTCATAGTGAAGATTGTTAACATTCATATTTAGGCATAGAGATAGGAATAAACGCTAAAGATAAAGAAAATTAGAGTGACCCATCCTCTTATGTCACAACATAAAATCATTAACTTTAGAGGCAGATACAATGGTACCAACAATCGGTGAGTTACCCACTTGGGTGGTGACTTCAAAATAGTAGAGCCCTTCATACTCCTTGGTACTTTCAATTGTCACTCCAAATAATAGGTCTTAAAATGCACAATAGGAAGGGAGGAATTTAGCATAACAATATTACTACTTGGTCCACTGATTGATGGAAAGTAAATTACAATCAACTTTAGGCACATGGAGAATAAATTCTAGCATTATAGAGTCGAAAATGCAAATACTCCCTTTTCCTGCTACAGGTGCTAAGGAACCATCTGCAACCTTTACTTTAACATTCCCGGTACATGAGGTGTAAGTGGTAAACAACTCATGACAATTTGCCATATGATCAAAGGCTCTAGAATCAACAATCCATAAAGATTTATTCTATGTGGTTGTTAAGGCTTTTAGGAAGGTACCTTTTTTTGCCACTAACATAAAGGACACAAATACTGATCTATATCCCACAATGACAACATTAATTAGTGGATGAAGCACCCTCCATATGCCAAATGGTAGACACACATAGAAGATAAAGCTGAGAACCACCACAAGCGATACTCTAGAATCAGCCAAGGTGAAGTAAGGGTTATAAAAACTTGATGCTCATAGATTTATAATGGATTCCACAAGCGTACGATTCATAAAATCATAAGTGATAAATGAAGGTCGTTCCCACAGAGAATCAAATTAATTGGTAATTAAGAAATAAATTCTCCATTTTCATTCAAGTCAAGCAAAACAAAATTTGGATTTGATTTTTGCAAAATAAAGATTAAAATTAGAACAATGTACTAAAATTAAAATTCCAACAATCGCAAATAGTCAAGGCAATTTAAGGTGACTAATCCCTTCTTCAATTCATAGAGCATGTAATTACCCAAATAAATTCACTTAAAATTAATTTATTAATCTAGAGTATTAATAAAAATAATTATCTTTTGATTAATTACACCCCTCTCTTGAATTAATTTGCTATATCTAACACAATTATTCAAGAGGCAAAGAGGCACAAACTCACTTTAATGTGATTATATGGGTCCAATAGATATATTCCTATCCTATTAACAAATTAGAATAAATTCTAATGTCACGTTACTCAATCTAATGGTCTAATTCAAATTTTTCTCTTTCAAGGTAAAACCTAAACTCCAAATTCACATTTAATGGTGGCCAAGCATTAAGGAGACAAATAAGTACATGATTAAGTAGAGTTGGGAATTCGGGCGAGCCGACCCAAATAAGCCCGCTATACTTATAAGCTCGAATTAACAAGCCCGGCCCGAATTATTTCAAGCTTCGGGCTGGCCCGAATACCTTTTTTTTTTTGCAATTTTGATGATTTTTTCCCACCTAATTGCATTAAAATAATAATCTAACATGCATTGATACTATTTTTTTTTTAACCATCTAAGCTAACAAAGCAAGTTCACCATACTAGTCTAACATTCAAAATAAATAATCCAACAAAATAACAACACACTCAACATGACATTAAAGTTAAAACATAACAATAATTAACAATACAAATGAAAGTCAAGCTAAATCCAAATCATGTGGCTCTTCCTGTTCCTCATCATCATTCAAAACTACATTTGTACTCTCAATGGCAAACAAATCCACATTTAGATTTAGTTCAAGTGATTCCTCCTCTTCCTCTCCCTCCCCCTCTCCCTCTCCTTCTTCCTCTTCCACTACCTCTTCTCCCTCAATCCTCTCTTTCTCTTCACTATCTGCAACAAGACAACAAAGGAAAAATTTTTAAATTATAATTGAATGAAATCAAATTTTACTTAATAATTATATAACAAAATAATCATATATTTAAAATTTATATTACCATCATATTGAAAATCACTTAACTAATTACGAGTGCAAATAAGAGCTTCAAAATTAGAAGGATGATTGCTCCAATATTTGGTGAGAACACGTGAGCCAATGTTAAAAGCCAATTTACTTGTTACTATAGTGATACGAATGCTAAGATATCGGCTATCATCTTTGAAAGGATAGGAAATCTACCCTTATTAGTGTTCCATCAATTGAGAGCGTCTAAATCTTGATATGCCTGGGGTTGAAATATTGCCTCATCCAAATAAAATTCAAACTCAGACTTTCCAACAGACATAACATCCATGCTTATATAATTAATCCAATTCTGCAACATGTAAAAATTTAATAAAACACCAACTAATAAATTAAAATAAAACAATAAAATTAATAATAACATGAAATTAAAATTACATCTAAAACTCTTGAAATATTGCTACTCATGGTTGAAGCTAAAACACTAGAAGCAGGGGAGGATTAAGCTTGATTTGCTTGTATTGGAATTGTTGAATTTGATTTAAGATCTGAGGCAAGAGCATCCATCTCTTTGTATTGATTAAAAATATATCTCAACTTGCTTTAAACACTCCCAATCTTGGCAAGGCAATTTATAGGATCAATCCTTACATACATGTACTATATCATTTGAATCTTCATTCACGGATCAAGCACAACTGCAATTGCAAGGATAGTATTATAATCATTCCAATACTTGTCAAATTTTTCTTTTATTCTTTGAGCCATTTCTTGTATCACGGGATCACCATTTACCATATTATCATTTAACAAGATCCAAATCTTTGATACTTGAGCGAAATACAAGTTTGAAGTGGGATAAATGTCCCAAACATCAATCTTGTCATCACATCAAATGGCCTCAAGAAATTACACATTTCTTCTCCTCTCCTCCACTTTTCATATGTTGGGCAATGGGTGAAATTATTATCAATACATGCAAAGCTAGTAAAAGCTTAATGATATTATAATCCACTCTCAAATATTGTAAAAATAGAATTCCATCTAGTGGGCACATCCATCCTCAAGCCAATTGAACTATCAATGCCACCAACCTCTTCAACACATTTTTTGAAAGCAATTGCCCTTACCTCTGATTGTTTGACATACTTAATGCTATCTCTAATCTTATTTAGAGTAACACTTGTCACTTTTAAGCCCTCTTGAACTATTAAATTTAAAATATGGACACAACACCTTTGATGAAAAATTTTTTCATTACAAATCAACTCATTATCTTGCAAAGCTAACTTTTGTTTTAAAATTTCTTGCATATTATCATTTGCAAAAGTATTATCTAAAGTGATAGAAAATACTTTCTTATAATCCCCCAATCAATCAAACAATCATAAACTTTTTTAGTTAATTCTTTTCTGAAATGTGGAGGCTTCATCTTACAAAAAGAAAGTATTTTACTATTCAATTTCCAATTTTCATCAACAAAATGAGCAGTCAAGAATAAATAACCTTCAGAGGTTATAACAGTCCAACAATCAAATGTTAAACAAATTCTACTAATACTTTTCAACAATCTTTGCTTTAATGCCTCTTTATACCCTTGATAGACTTTTGTAACATCAATACAGCTGTTTTTCAAGTAATGTACTTTACACTAGAATTCAACATTAAAGAATAATACTTAAACCATTTATATTCAACCATGGAATAAGGCAAATCATGTTTAATTATCATTGTAGATGAAACCTCTCGCACATGCTTATCATTAGGCTTTCTAGACCTCAATTTTTCTTCTCTGTCCATCATCATCACTCCAATATCATGATATTTAGCAAGTTGGGGACAATTTTTAGCATGTCGTACTAAATGAGATGTGCCATCAACCCAGATCTTGCTAGGCCTTTGTTATAACCATTACACCTAGCTTTTCCTTTTCCATCAATTGCAATTCTAAAAAATGACTTCCAAACATCAGATGTACAGGTTTTTGATTTTTTAACAACAAGTGGCTTCACTTCTTTCTCAAAACTTGTTCTTTTACTAGAATTATTAGAACCAATAGACTTCTTACTTGCAGAGGCAACAGATTTCTTACTTGCTGAGGTAGCTAATTTAATTGCAGAGGCAAGTAATTTTTGCTCATTGTTTTTTTGAGAGGGAAAAATATCAACTACTTTACCCTTGCCACGCACATTATCATCTACCTTACTACTAGAACTACACTCACATTTTCATTAATTTTCTTCTTTTACTAGAAGACATATTTCACTACATAAAATTGGAAATTAAACATCAATTTAACATACTATATGCGTCTATGCCTTCATTAAAAGTTAAGGCAATCGGAGGCAATCTCAGATAGCATAAGATATTCAATTCCACATGACAACACAACCATTGAAATTCATGCAGAGGCGGGTCTCAAATAGCTTAAAAATAAGCTTAAGCAAATACAACCAGAGGCATACTCAAAGGCAAATCTAGCTTAAAAACAACCTCAAGCAAACACAATCGAAGATTGATCAAGCAATCAAGCAGATAATGAGCATGCCATTAGATATCGAAACAGAGCAGAGATTTCAATCTTGACTCTTAAGTAATCAAACAGATCGAAACAGACGAAGAGGAAGAAAACCTTGCCAATGGATTCTACTGCTCTGGTCTGGACAAAGCTTGTTGTGCTAGGGGTTCTGGTCTGGACGAAGCTCGTTTTGCCAGTGGGTTTTGATTTTTCTAGTCTGGACAAAGCTCGAGTGTGAAATAGTGAGAGATTGCGAGCGATCGTGTAGTCTGAGAGAGATTGAGAGTGCGAGTAGGCCGACAAAGTTCGACGAGGAAGAGGAAGTAATTATTGCCAATGGGTCTGGTCTTCTTCTTCCACAGCCTTTAGAGTTTCGCTTCAGGTAGTTTAGCATGAGGAGAAGCAAGACAATGATTCAGTGAAGACGCTCAATGGATTTCAAGATGCAGAACGTCCTTCAACTTTGATCAATCGATGCCTCGATGGTTCGAAACTTCGAATGAGAAATAGAGAAAGCAATTTTAGGCTTTAGGGTTTTTTTAGCTCTCGCCATCTCGCATCTCACCTCTCAGTGATTCAGTCTCAACCTCTCAAGTCTCACTCTCACAGTCTCACTGTTTGGACCTCACCTCACTCACGACTCATCTCTGTCCTCATGTCAGCATGTCTACGTGTGCAGCAGGCAATTGGCTCCATTTTTTAAAAAAATGTTAAAACATAATTCAGGTTTATTTGTGTAGCCTGAATAGGCTCGAAGTATCAATTTTCTTCTAAAATATTAAGCTCGGCCTTAAATTTTTTCAGACTTACGGGCGAGCCTAAATTACCGACTTATGATTAAGTAAATAAAACTAATATCAAGCTCAAGTAAATGGTTCAAATATGCTATAATTCAAGAATCAGCTTATAGCTCCCTAAATTAAGAAAAAATTAGCCACACATGGCTTCTATGGCAGTAAAATCAACAATATATACAGCAAAGTAAAGAGAAGAAGGAGGAGAAAAACTTAATCAAATCAATCTTGAGCGAACCCTTGATTTTTCACTAAACTCAAGCTTCTCCAACCCTCCTTTGGCTCTTTTTCCTCTCCTTGGACGTTTTACAGAGAAATAAAGAACACACAAAAATGAGATGCCCAAACCCTAAAAGTTTGCTAAGTCAAAACTGTGCATTTTACTAAAATCGCATTTCGTTACAACAAACGAGTTTTCGTTGCAACGAAGATGACCTATTTAGATTTTCTTTTTAGATTTAATTCCTTTAATTTAGACTCTAAAATTTTCATCTTTAAACCTCTAAATTGGGCCTCTCTACATGCATAAAACTTAAAATTAATGCTAAAATAGGTTCACTAACTTCTAACACATTTTCAAACTCATTTTCACACACATTCATCCATTTAATCATATTTTTACTAAAAAATTCAAATATATGACTTTCAATTATATTAAAAATACTAATAAATGTAATAAAATATTGAAAGTCATCAAATAGCCACCGAGAAATAGCCACAGTGATAAAGAATAGCACTAGACGAGACACCTAAGACTAGAGGGCTTCGAAACAATGCTCTTAAGACATGGGTAATGGATGGATCTGGTCGAAAACACCAAGTTGAGTATAATCGAAGGTGTCACTACTCATCCCGGTCATTCACATGCCTGCACCCGCCACCTTGCTGCACTTGTTGGAGGTTTTCAAGTAGCACATGTGGGCTCCATGCCCCTCCATTCGTCATCAGACTTATGGATATCGCCAACGGTACCCTGGGGAGTCTTCCTATGCCAGTGGTGAGGGTTAGAAAGACCTTCACCATGATTAACACATACAGCTAGAGATGCAACAAGTGTTGCCATGCGACCCAAACACCCAGAAACCTTAGGGAATATTTCTGAACCCTAATATCTTTAATACCATATGGAAATTAATAAAAATATATTTCTTATTTATGCTAAATTATGTGTTACAATCAATATATATGTACAAAGCTGAGAGACAAAGTAATAAATACTAGTAACTCCTAATAATCAGGTTAGAATATTTATAATTAATTTAGATATTCCCACATATCCAAAAAAGAAAACTAAATAAGAAATTACAGGAATAAGAAATCTAGAATACATAAGATAAATCAATTTTTAAAGCCCCAAAATTTTCACAAGCATAATGTAATTTCTCGCTCAATTATACACAATTAACTAATAAAACTCATGATAATTAAAAGATTAATTCATAAAAGGGATTACCAAGTCTTAATTCAAAATCAAATAATCTCAAGTTTTCATTATTAAAATAAGTTTAAATCAATCATAATCTCTTATATCAGAATATAAATAAGTTACGGAAGTATAGGATGCCTTGGAGGAATGAAAAAAAATCAAAATCATTTAAAAAACATGTTTGCTATGAGACAGGGCAATGGATTGCGACTTATGCACACTACGCCATGACTTATGTGTTGCTTTCTGTGCCACAGGTTGCTGCTTAGGCACCATACACCATGGCACATTGCACGCAAATGACAGCTAACAGCAAAATCAAGAAACTTCTGATGTATCCCAATTCTCCATCCAAATGATATAATCTAGGTGTCTATGGAAGGCTCTTCTCATAAACTAACTAATGGTATAGGTTATACTTTCAAAATAAGTCACACTAGAAAGTTGGACATCTAAACATATTTTGATCACTTTTAACAACTTTCACACAAAAATGGTGTCCAAAACCCACAACGTGTCAACAGACATTCTCAACACCCAGACCATACTCATTGAAACTGAGACAATTAGTACAACACATCACACGCACTTAATTAGCAATATAGCATAAAATCACTCCTCAACCCTTTTCACTAAAAATAGGAAGGGGAGGTAAGTTTCATTACATTGTGTCCAAACCAATGAAAATATGTTCAAAACATTATTTCTATACTTGCACTTGTATTTTGACCCTATCAACATATATTTCTCATCATATACAATTACTTAGGTCTAAAATACAACTTAAATATTTATAACAACAAAATAGTACAAGTGTAACGACATAAATCATAGAATTGACAATCATATTCTATTATACAAAAATAAATAGATAGAAGAGGCATATTAAAAGAATACACAAATTTCTAGGCCTCAGTAGCTTTATTCCTCTCAACACTAGAGTTAGAGTTTGAAAAGTGTTAAAACACACTTAAAAAGTAGCTTTATTCCTCAATAGCTTGAAAAGTACTTAAAACACACTTTAACACATATCATATTTTACTAATCCAATTAACATATTTTTATCTCATACATGTTGGGTACATTATCGCAAGACACTCACACATGTGACAATGACATGTCATAATTTAAAACGTGACATGTCATAAGTTTACATAAGCAATGATCAACCACCCTTATGCCGCCTTATTTTCTCAGATTGAAATCGTGGACTATAACATTAAATACAGCTCTATCCGTGTGATTGGACTACCTAAGCTCACCAACCATGAGGTGTGATTCAGTCAAAATCACATTACTTGCTTTTGGACCATGGCTTCCCTACTCTCGAATCTTTGTAGTGTCTCATACTCTAAGCTATTCTTCTCGTCAAACTAATGGAAAAAGCTAGGTTCTGATCCCTCGACAAACTATGAGACAGTCCATTGACAAACTATGGGGCAAGGCTATACTCCCGTGCACCGAAGAGGATCCTAAATACCATATGAATTTTTCTCTACTTCTAATCCTTAAGTGAACTCACGTCTACTAATTATGCCATGTATGATATTCATTCATTTTTTACACACTCATTTAGACATTATCGAAAACAACACATTGAGCTCACGATCATGCACTACCCAAGTGAGCATCAATACTCCTTTTCATATCTTATCACCTAATCCACTATTTTCATATCTAAACATCGATCAATATCACAATCATCATCAACTATTAAATTTCACATATAATTTCAATTGCCCTTCATTTTAAAAGATCACCTTTGCATCATTGACAATTCATTTTTGAACCAAGTCTATGAACATAACTTTTCATTGCATGGTACACACATTTTCCAATCACAACTCACAAGTATAGTACATATTTCACATCGCAATACAATTAACATATAACTATCTAAAGCAAAATTCCCTCAGTTATCTCAAATTTTTAAAAAGTCAAAAGTTTATCCCTCAACATTATAGTTTTCAAGCTTAAATTCCTAAGTCAAATTGGTGTTCAAGAGTTTAATTTACAATTTAACAAGTTGGATCCCATCAAAATTGCCAAACTCAAACATTCAACTCTCATTTCTCCACTTCAAAATTGCACAATGCTCACTTTACATTATCCATTGGGTTTATTAACTATATTTAGTCCCTATTAATATTAATGAGTTATTAAACTTTCATTAATGACATCACATCCTTCCAACAACCCACATTAATGTAATTTTTGCATATTTATGAAGCCCAACAATCCAAGACAACAAAATTGATTATACCTAAGTTTAAATACTCCAATCTACTTCCATTAACTCTATTTAAATCAATAGATTCGGACACATAACTTATATAAACTAAAAATTATATTTTACTATCAAATCTTAACCATAAACTCATAAAGGCAAAAAAGATGAAGAGATTAATAAGTATAATACTTACTTTAAGTGTTTGTAACTTTCAAAATACTTCTAATATTGCAGCAAAGCTTAGCACACCTTTTCATTTTTTCTTTTTTTCTCCTTTCTATTTTTGTCTCAGTTCGTGACTGACAAACTGTAAAAAATGACCATGACCATACATCGAGTGGAGGCGTAATGCGTTGCAGTGCATGACACAAAGAGGTCCCATTCTTACATCTGGAGTGTCTGTGCTCCGCAGCAGATGCACTCCACGCTATAACATGTGGAACAACAACACTAACCTTTCATTTTCTTCTCCTTTTGATACTCGGGTGACTTGACTTGATATCAAACTCACAATTAGGAGTGAAATACAATCTAATATAATTATTAAACTTTCCTGATCACACATTATAACAATTTACTCAATTATTATAATTAAGTTTAGTAAATCAGGAGAATTAAAAACCAAGATATTACACATAAAAGGGAATAAATTGAGTCCATCTCGAAACCACCCTTCATTGAAGAAAAGAGCATCCGAATCTCTCGATCTCGCGTTCATTCTCTTTCTGGAATGGCGAGAGATTGAGCGGATAATCTAATACAATCAAACCCAGCAAATTAAGGACACAAAGCAAGAACAATGAAAGCCAAAACAAAGATTGAACCTAAAAAACTTAATTAATGAACCCATAAATCAGCATCAATCGTCTAAGAACCAAAAAATGATATCAAAACAATCAAAGAACATAAGGCAAAGAATGATCAACAAGGTTGATCGAACCCAAAAATTATCGTCGATCAAACCCAAAACAATCAAAGAATGATTTCGAACAAACGATTTCTAGAAATTTTCGAACCCCAAAATTTTTGAAACAATCAAAGAGCCCAGAAAATTTCAAAAAACTTTTGATCTATCTCCGTCACACCTCAGTTACCTCCTTTGATCTAGGCCTTCGTCTTCTCTGTTCAATCTCAAGTTGCTGTTGGATTCAAGGCTTCAAACTTCTTCACCGTATGAGATGCAACAAATCGAGCACGCCAAAGGGGAGGGGGTAGCAGGTGGGCAAACCCCCTTTCACTCTTCCACTTCGGAATCCCCACCCACGGATCGAGAACGAGACCCATATTCGAGGAAGGAGAAGGTGAAGAAGATGGGGAAGGGGGAGGGGGAAGGAGAAGGCGAACTCTTTCGTGGTCTCCCCTGACGTCGTCTGTTGTCTCCCACACTGTGGGTTCGAAGAGCAGAGGAAGGAGAAGGCAAAGAAGACGAGGAAGGTGATTGGCTCAATTGGAGAAGAGAAGAAGGAGAAGGCGATGGAGAATAGGAAAGGGGAGAGAGAGAATAAGACGAGGAGGGGAGGGAAGCAAACTGGATTGATTTTATTTTTAATTTTAAAAATATTCTAGGGCCTGCCAACTCAGTAATTCAAGGTCAACCTCGCGGTCAAAGTGATTAAAGACCAACAAAGACATTGTACCGAAATATAAATATTAGGGCAAAATTATGTCACAAAATACTTTAAGATTTGAGTTGCACCTGGTTGGAAACATTGAAGACAGTTTTTCACCTCAACCCAAATTTTAATAAGCCATGTTAATTTATTTTAAGAAAATGAATGACGCGACTCATTTTTTAAATTTCATATAATACATAAAACCAATACTAGTTTATTTTTAGAAAATGCTTATTTGAGGACATTAAGACTTCTTTATTGCCTATTCTCTTAAATTGCAGGTATTCTGTGAAAACCAATTCAGGGCATATTTGAAAATTATAGAAGTTTCTAACACTTATCTGCTTTTAATTATATTTTTAATCCATATAAAGTAGTTAATAGATACTTATAATAAGCACCAAAGGCAGTAAATAATCTTGAGTGATTTTTGCCTAGAGAGTCGATTTGGTAGAATTTAGAATGGTAAGAGTCTAAGAGAAAATAGATTGTCCAGTCACACTAAATTTCTTCATGTATAATCCTACTTGTTGAAGCTAAAAAGCTTAGAAAAATTGGCATACCCTATAGTTTCTCATGACTAGTAAAGCCGCCAAGTCCCAGTCAATCAGAAGATTCTTAAAATGCAGTTGATCTGTTAGCAAGCATGGGAAATAACTTTACAATGGCAATTCATCTGAATGAAACCTTTATAGTCTTGTAAATGCAAGTTATGAAGATGTTGTTTTATGTTTAAGTTCTGTAATTTGTGTTCGTCTGGGTTCTTCATAATCTGCCAACTAGTTTCTTGCTCTTCGACCATTGAAATTCTTTTAAGGTGTCGTTTAAAGCATGTCACCTTTCTTTGATATGCAGTTAGAGAAACAGTTGAAATTTGTAAGCAACGGTGTGGAAAAGTGAAGAGAAAGAAACTGAAGCTTATCATGGCGGGTTGCTAGACATGTTCAGTGATTAAGTCCTTGGTGATCGGCAATATACTAGAGGGAAGGAGGCAAGTCCTTGTTGTATTCTAGTGAGATGCTATTCCTTAAATCACCCGTGTATGGTATGGTCTATTGACGTGATAATGCACTTAAAACAAGCATCTCTCATATTGTCAAGTTATAGTTACTGACAATATCTTAAGCACCAAACAGAAAACACAAGCACACATTTTTCGTCTCTTTACTATCATATTATCCTTTTTTTCCTACTGAACTGTACTGCCACATTATCTAATAAAATCACATGTGGTTCCCTATTTATAACCTAGTATTAATTGTTATTTGAAAACTTTTTTGTATTGGAGAATCTAATGGCAATCATTTAAGAGAAAGAAATTTGCTGAAGTTTGTACGCATCACAGAAAAGTCGACGCTAAATGATCATTTATTAGTTCGAACTTGGTAAATGATAAATTATTAGCCTGAACCAAATATGGTTTGTATACATTACAAGGAGTCTATTGTTGTTGATGACTTATAAATAAATAAATAGCATTAATTTTCATAAATTTTATTACATATTTGGTATTGAACATTGATGATTAAGGAGAACGGATTTTTCTTCGACTTTTGAAAAACTATGCGTAGAGTGCTTATACCTTCTGGAGATAATCAAATTTAATTATAATATTTTACCTCTAATATTGTATATTTTAATGAATGCAAGATTTAAAATAAAATTAATTTTTAACTACCAAATTCAAAAAATTGAAATTATCTTCTAAATACTAAGAATAAAAAATTACATTTACTTAAAAAATTGAATTTGGTTAATGTGATCTGTAAATAGCATCTCAAATGATGAACACTCATCATGGTTGAGAGTTGAGACACTAACCTCATCACACTTGCTATGGATTCTAATATAAAACTTAACTATTATTTGTGATATGGACGGCTCGTCAGTAGCAATGTAATAATCCTGGTGATCTGCATTAGTATAATTTTTCCCCAACATGGTCATCTCAAGTCATTTACACGCTTATAGTCAGCATAACCGAAATTTAAAATGACATATATGTTCAATATAAAATTTCTATTTGTATTTCATAATATTATATATTCATATTCATTGATAAACCATGAAAAACATACGACTTATTTCAACATACGCCCCACAATCCAATCTTAGCACCACATATCAAACAATCATTTCAAAAAAAGCAGTACTCAAATATTCAAACTAGCCAGCAATATCTTAACGAATGATGAATCACCCGAAAAAGTCAAACTAATCTCATTTGCCTGTGATTTGCTCATGCTCTGCAAGTTTCCCCCGCCAGCAAGACAGCGTGTGGTTCAAGAATGGGGATGCCGGCCGCCAAAGCCAAAAGCCTAGAGCTGAATCGTAATAGTATGGACTTTGCAGAGTTAAAAAAATTGACCAGTTTCCTTTCTGGGGCTCACAGATTTTAAACGACGACCAAAAGATATAGAAAACCCCACTGGCCGCCTGAACAATTCAAAATGTAATAAATTCCCTCGCCCCCTTTACGGCTGCCTAACAAAAAATGGGACTTAAGTAACAGTCAGACCAACGCAGGTACCCGGAGCTTTTCATCCAGCTTATGGGCCACAGCATCGATAAATTCCTGTGTGTTCAAGTAAAATTCCCTGCATACACTGCACATGTCCACATAATTAGCAGCCAGTCAATCCAACTTGTCTAGAACATCTCATGTCCCAATCCAAAACAACTAATCATGCATGAGTGGACCTTGAATAAGAATGCAAGATCTTCGGTCATCTTTCAATTTTCATGACCACCACCTAACTAGTTGGATGCTATAAATGGGTAAGCGCCATGCATGAGTGGACTTCAGAGTTCAGAAGACAATATCAAACAACGAATAAAAAGTGATTCAACTATATAAATTATTTATCAACTACGAATTGCAATAAAATGAAAAACAAATACATAATTTATCAATTTTACTTTATAAGATGCAAATTAAAACCAGATACTCTAAAGACGCTTATTATATGAACTAATATACTTTTCATTTAAAACTTTACAGTTCAAAATTACACAGGTTATAAGCAGTGACTATGCGAAGAGAGTAACTGCAGGAGACGGAAGAATTACTTAGGTCCATGAATCAGAATAGCAAGATCTTTGGTCATCTTTCCAGACTCCACCGTCTCAACACATGCAGCCTCCAACTTACAAGCAAAATCCAGTAACCTCTCATTGTTATCCAGCTTGGCCCTGATACACAACAGAGACATGACAAGAACAATATTCAGAAGAAACATAGATAATGGAAATGCCAGTTGGCAAAGTAAAAATTACCAGTGAAATTGTAAATTCTGAAATAAAGTGACTGAATACCTGTGTTCCAGTCCTCGCGTCCATGCAAATATAGAAGCAATGCTGTTTGTACTAGTTTCCTGTCCCTTCTGATGAAGCCGGAAATGTCGAGTTACAGTTCCATGAGCTGCCTCAGCTTCTAATGTCTTTCCATCAGAAGATAACTGCAAAAATTTTAGCAAATATAGATGTCCAGTAACCAAAATACAGATTACTTCTTTTTTTCCTTGTTTAGATTACCAAAAAGGGCACAACACAAGACCTTGGAAGAATCATTCAATATTCAATACATTAACAAAGACAAAATTATATATTAAAAAATAAATACAAACCAGCACAGAAGTCATGAGGCCCAACGAGCCAAATCCTGCACACAAGACAAAAGGACTTTTAAAAACTTGATTTTAAAGATCCTTCCTACCAGCTAGGAACTACACATTACCAAAGTTTGGAATGCTCAATGTACAAAAGAGCGAACTTAGCCTGCATGAAAATTTATTTCAAAAATTTTAATTGCAACCTAGCTGAGCCTGAGTCCTAAGATATGATTCATTTTGTGCTGGTATAACTTAAATATATATATATATATATATATATTCAACAGTCTACAGAATGATTCACTTCTTGTTGCTTGCTAACATCAAACATATTTCAGTCTGGACAAAGCATAAGCTATGAAATCACCTTGAGCAAGTAAATCACTTTGGACATCACCATCATAATTTTTGCAAGCCCAAACATATCCTCCTTCGCTTTTGAGTGCATATGCAACCATGTCATCAATGAGCCTATGTTCATACCTGAAGCACAGAGTTGCATCACCTATCTGTGAATGGAAAATTGATTAAAAGAAAATTGCTTCACAAGCATAAAAAAAACGAACCATATCGAGTGTTCTTCAAACTTCGTCTTCCACCTTTCTTCATACACCTCCTGGAATATGTCTTTGAACCTGTCATCATTTCACACTGTAAATTATCTCCGATAACAATAAATATCAAAAACTCTGTAAAATTACAAAGTCAGACAGATTAAGCTGATCCTTGAAGATTTGCACAAATCCTGAAAGAATGAACGGAAAAAAAAAAAATCACCTGCCATCATATTTCTTAAGAATAGTGTTCTTGGTGCTTAAGTAAAGAGGCCATTTCTTTGCAAACGCCAGTGACATTGATGATTCAGCAAAAGCCCGGATAGACTGAAACATTAGAAAAGGAAGTGTTCAAAAATTTAATTAACAATTAACACCATATGCAGTTGATTAATATACAATAAAACAAACCTCATCAACATTATACATAGCAAGAGCAACACCTGGTCCTTTGAAATTGAAAACATCAAGCTCCACTGGAGGATCCGCGTCTTCAGGAACTTAATTAGAAAAAGGCATAAATTAGTATTATGTACTGTTTAATATAGTAGCAAAGAAGTTCAGCTCTGTTCGTGAGCATGATATTAATAATTAGCATACCATATACCAACTTAAGCTTCCCTGGTCCTCTAATTACTAAATCAGTAGCACGATACTGATCACCAAAAGCATGCCTACCAATACATATGGGTTTCTTCCAACCTGGAAACTGAAGAATAAGTTCAAAACAGTGCGCTTAATAGTAGTTCACCTTAATTCAGAATCAAACTAGAGTTTAAACATTACCGGGGACAATTTTTGGAATATTCCGGCATATTATGGGCTCCCGAAAAACAGTACCTAGAAAGAGAGTTAAATTATCAGAAGTGAAATTTAAATATATATATATATATATATATAAGGAAAGCAAGTCTATGAAGTACATTTAACGCATGTTTGAAGCACGTATTAGTGACTATCTTGGAATATGTATGAAAGAATGAGATTGCACAAACGCACATAGTGTAAAACAAGATCCAGTTAGTACATATTATTATACATTTACAATCATAAAGCCACCACAAAAATTCGATATTTCATAGCATCCCCTCAACATGTCCATTCTAATTTTAAGCGTGCCTGATAGATGGCCAAAAGTTGACAATATACCAAACGTCCATATACATCCTTTGAATCAACAAAATAAAGCCCATCAATATCATTAACATATATAATGTGCCCATCAAATAGTTATAAATGTCTATATTAGCAACTTCATTGTATTTTAATTTCAGTGAGAACAATTCATCCAATGAAAAGAATAGCTACATTTTATGAGCAACGTACATATTGGATCCACTAGTGTTTCCAAAATAAGTTGCAAAATATAGAAATCCTATGAGTAAAATCAATGAAACTGTTTCTTCCAATAGAAGAATAATTTGTTGTGCACATTAACTCTCATCCACAACTAACACAGACATCTTTCCCTTCTTTTGTGGCATATGCACCCAATATCAAAAGTCCAAAGGACTTCAGACCCCGACTGATCTGAATTGAGCCGAGTTATATCACAAGGACAGCAAGCTCTCCCAACAAGTATTTAACATAACTACATACCCAGAACTCAAACTCAAAACTTCTAGTTAAATTAATGCAACCCTTTACCAAATGAGCTATGCAATCATTGATGAACACAATCAACTTTCTAACACAAAGATACTTGACAAAAAATCCACATGGCTACACATGCATTCTAATGTTTTAAAGCATGTAAATACATTACAAACCATTCAAAATGTTTCTAATTGTGCCATTGGGGCTCCTCCACATAGACTTCAGTCCAAATTCTTTGACTCTGGTTTCATCTGAAAGATTGAAATAGAGGAAATAAAGTTTGATCCGTGAAAAGTTTAATGATAAAATAAGAATTTAGCAGCATTCCAACATGCAATGCACAATGTAAAAGATTATATAACATGCATAAACCAGGACAGTCAGTTGAGCCAAATTCTAAGCACGTTGAATGTTTGCTAACAAATCATGGAATAGAACATTTGGTCCAATAAGGCCAAGAAAAACTCACCTGGAGTTATTGTTGCGCATTTTACAGCAACATTAAACCTGAAGTAAACAGAACATGTTAGACTTGATGCATTCCCATGGATACACAAATGAGCAAAGCAAGACACCCCTTCTCAAAATGCAGTCTTATGCTTTGTGTCTAGGACAAATTTCTCCAAGGCAGTTAAAGAGTCAATTGAAACTATTACACTAAAATGTCATATTACTGGGCACCGAAACTCTCATCATCTCTAAACTTATATTTCTATCTGATTTTAAAACAAGAAAGCTGGAAAGCCCACAAGCTCTCTCAGAGCTTCCCAATTGAAAGGCTAAGCTCTAGCATCTACTTGAGGCCATGAGAAGAATCAGGTCATCTACGTTGCTCACATAAAGGCCCATTTCTGTTATATTTCAATGTTGCAGTGCATGTTCCAGAACTAAGCCAACCCAATTCAGCAACTTGAATGAGAACTCATAAAAGCAAGATCACCACAAATAAATCACTATAACCAACCATCTGATCAATTCTATTGATACACATGCTCACGTGTTAAATTACTCACGTTAGAGCAGCTTCAGCACTTTCTACAGTAACTCTGTCATCAGTTGCATCACGATGCTGAATTCCCAAATCAAAATACTTTATATTTAAATCCAGATAAGGAAGTATGAGCTGCAGTCATCACATAAACACTCACTTATGTTAACGGCTCCAAAGCCACTGTAAAAGCTAGCATGATAAGAATAAAGAGCCCAAGAAAGATAGGTATTCATACTCTATGCTTTATCATCTTCCATATGATCCTTGTCATTTCATCACCTAACCAGGAAAAAAAGTTTAACAAATACAATACAACAAGAAAGCCAGGAAGATAGCGAAACAGAACATGCTACGTTTATTTCTGAAAAAATACACACGAAAGTAGAAATTAAACCTTGGCCTGAAAAAATAGCGAAGAGGAACAGGTAAACATGCAGTAAGTTTAACTTCAAAAAATTCATAGGATTTTTCATAAGCAAACCCCTCGGATTCAACACAAATTCCGGCGCTCTCTTTATCCATTTCTTCATGCAATTCACGTAAACTAAAGAAAGGATCATTAAAGTAGTTAGACCAGACAAACACTAAAATAGCATTTACCGTCCATTTCCACTATAGGATTCTGAACTCGAACTCTATCAAAACCAGTGAGTGCGGCGTAGCATCGAAGCGAAACGCGATTGGAGCGAGTGGGGAAGAAAACATTGTCCAGTGTTAGAACACCGTTACAGGTAGTGAAGCGCGAGATAGGGTTTCTGCGCGGTATTGAAGATAGCGAAGACGACAACGTAGTGGCGCCGGACATGACACTTGATCGAAGCACTGCTCTCATCATCCAAGCTCAATAAGTGTTATTCAATTATTTGGAGTTGGAGCTAGCAACCGCAAAAGCCTTTCTTGTCAAAGAAGCCGCGGAATACGATTCAATTCTATTTGCTCCGCAGCGGACTTTTGTTTTTTGACGCAAGTGCCAACAAGAAACTAGGGACAAGCTCATCTAGGCCCCAAGGGACAAAAAATTGCAGTCAGGGTTAATATATTTTAAAATTATTCCACTAACTCAAAGACTTTTTTTGCAAATTTATTTTAGAAAAAAAAAAAGATGTAAAGTCCAACAATATAACCAGAGACTTTACTTACACGCACCACAATACTACCTCAACACATACACATAATTTGTTTTTGAAGATGCTAAATCTTGAATTTGAGTTAGAAATATATAAACATCCAATTAAAGCTTCACAAAAGGGCTCAAAGAAGCATAGGCATCATGCCTTATTTAAAACAATCATTTTTCTTAGAACGTGTCACGCACTATGGCATGTAGTATAAAGCCATAAGTTTTAGCTCTATGTCATGTGTCACGGCATGCCCCCATGCACCGCGGCACACGTATTACATTTTGTTATCATGACAGCAGTCTGATATAAATTTTTGCCGTGCGCCATTTTCATATACGACGTCCAATCAAAGTGATTTAAGCATCTACACGAAACTCGTAAGACAAGCTAACTAATTAGATAAGTTTGCATACAATCCAACAATCCAACCTTAATTTGAATACTCAAATATAAAAAGTCACTTTTCTTTAAAAACCAAGCAATCAAAGTATTTGAATTCAACACCTTGCCTCTGCTTTAGCCCTTAAACCAAGTTCAAAGAGACTAGATACATTTGATTGACATATAATATTATATATCACATGTCACATACACAGTTTGACTTCTCAACATTACTTTTCACATACATGGACTTATATGAGAAAACACATACTATCACACACATAATTCTACTTGTTCCACTTACATATATCTGACTTATACATATAGGGCTAAGTCTTACCACATTGTCAGGGTTCATACATATACTTCACAAGCAAAAATGGGGTCAAGTCTCACCATGTAGTCAAGATTCACAATAACCACTCGATTCACATATGATAGAGCAAGATTTCACAAAATCACACACACACATACACAATTGCTTGTATTAGTATCTAGGCCTATTCACCACATTAACTCATAATTACAAAATTGATGAAGATGTATCAAAATAATACAAGTAAGTCACCCAAAATGCTATATACACATATATGTATCATAGTTGGCAACTGAAATGCTATATACAAATATACATTCATATACTTTAGTGTAACACCCTAAAAAATACAAACTTATTTTTCACAAATTATTAAAATCATTATCGTGGTAGAAAATTTTCTTACCATGATACATTCAAGACATAACACAAGTCTTAAAATATCCAAAAAGGTAATTAAAATCATGAGGGACAGACATAATCTTCATGGCATGATATTCAAATCAGATCATACATCAAGAGGGACAGACATAATCCTCTTAGTCATATAAACACTTTTAATAAAAAGGATTAGAATTTACATGCTTCACAAAAAAGATATGTCCTAAGTTGGCACAAGATACATTGTATAATCCAAAATAAGAGGCAATGTAAAAGATGGTGTCTCATACACCATAGTTACACCTCTGGTGTTTTCTCGGCCGGACTTGCTCCTGTAAAAATATTAACCACGGGGAATGAGACTTAAAAGTCCCAATAACCAAAAACTAATATGTAATGATGCATGCGGTTGTAATTAATCATGTGATTGCGAAGTGGGTATATAAAACATTTAACCGAACAATATTTTCAAACAAACCGAACAAGTATTTAATTTGCATGACTACACCTTATATCCTCCTTTCGCCATGCTCGGACACCAAATCACTCGGCCAAAGATGAGTTGGACCAAGCGACACGCCACTCATTGGGTTCAATGAGGGCTTACCACGTGGTGATAATTAACCGAACAGAAATTTCCATTAACACCATACATTAAAATGCCCCTGACAAGTTATGCATCATTCAAATATCCAAACAAAAATATATCCGAACAATAATATCTCATCATGATAAACAAAAATAAATTTTTTTAACCCACTTGACAATAATTTCAAACAAGTATATACAGTATTTATTTTCAAAAATTCATAATTTTTCCAAACAATAAAACAACACATAACCATTCACAAACACACCCATCACAACACATTAATAATGGTTACCTTGTGTCTTGAATAACAAGTTCCCTTCACAACTCCTTTTTCACCACTATCTTTGTCAATATAATCTACATAATTATTTCACAATACTATATATTAATTTTACATTGAAAATTAATAAATAACTCTAAATTAAAGAGTTAAAAAGTCTTAGATTTAAAATCCATATTGACACTAATTTAAGATTTATGCCTCATTTAACTTTCCAAATTCTTTTCTAAAATTTTCATACCTTAATAAATCATATTTAAGCCTCAAATCACCTTTCTATAACCTCAATAATACCTATTCATACTTAAATAAATATTTAATAATCAGAAGTTCATCCCTACATCTCAGATTCCACATAAATTCAACCATATAGATCTAGATTTTAACTCAAAAATTCTTAAACATGAGTTTTAACTTCAAGAAAATATTCTATAATATTTATCATATCCCTAAGAGTTTGAACCTATATTTTTAATCCATCATATCATCAGATTAACTATCCTATAGAAAAATCCTAATCAGAATATTTATTCTATCCTATAAAATAATCATATCACTAGAAAACTTATATTATTTAGAAAATAACTATAAAATTAATTTTGTAATTAAATAAATTTTTAAATGCTAATCTAAACAAGAAAGTTAGAACATACCTGAAGAAAAAGAAAATAATCCCCCCTTGCAAGAAAACTCCGAGCAGTGTGAGAGGAAGAGAGAAAAATAATATAAAAATGGGATTGTGGGTCTCAAAATTATATTAAAAAAATATAGGTTTGAATTTAATTATTCAAACCTTTGAGCCATTACTTACAATTTTCACAAATTGCATCTTGGGCCCTTAATTGCAATTTTCACAAATTGTATAAACTTTTCTTTTTCTTCCTTCTGCTCCTCTCGCGTATGCCTCCTCCTTTTATATATGAGGAGGCACCTCACCTTCCCACATCTAATCGATGTGGAACTTCAACAGTGCCTCTCTCTTTTTTTTTTTACTTCAATCATTTTTTTTACTTTTTTTTTAAACTCACACATACACATAAATTTTTTTATTTTAAATCTTAAAATTATATCTTAACAAAATATTTCTTATATAATTTTAAACCTAAGTTTTTAATTCATAATTAAATTTCTAACCATATTATTTCTGAATAATCTCAAATAATATAAATTCATATTATTATCATTTTTTTAAATCAGGATGTTACATTTAGAGTAGCATTATGCTTTCTTATAAGCTCGATTACTCTTTTCGCATTTTCTTTTCCCAGCCTTGTGGAGCTCTCTACACCTATAAACATGAAGTAAGGAGGTGAGACATACGTCTCAGTAATTTAAATAAACCCAAACACCAAATAAATAAAATTATACACAAGAAATAGCGTAACAATATTTTCACAATGAATATAAGTAGCAATGTTATGCAATGCACATATAATTATATATGAGCATATGTCACTAATATCCCCCAAACCTTCATACGTCCAACCAAATCCATGTGCTATGTACAGAATTCTTTAGTTGATTTAAGCTCACCATTAGTGGAAGAAGTAAGGCCAATATCTCTCAATCACCTCTAGACTATAGATTTTCCCTAACCAATCGGCAGGGCGTCAAATACTCCCCTTACTAATCACCCACAAAATGACAGGGAGTAGACACCCAGCCATATTCGTAAGCTATAGTCCACGTGGCATAGGCATCACATACACTAAGATCATAGTTAGCACAACTCCACAAGGTGAACTACCACCTCTAACACATATGAATGCTTATGCATTTCTGAGTCCCATTAATAGATCATAATTAACACTCTAGACCAAGACTTCCTAAATTTACACAAAGCAAGGCCACCGACCCCTATTTTATACTAAGGTAACGCTTACTCATGCATACACATATGCAACATGACACATGCACACAGGCATCACTAACACACATTTCTCATATGGACTATCTATCACATGTATTACATGTATAACTTTTCACCACAAGAATATTCTATTCATTTAGAAATCGTAATATAAATCATTAACATAAATAAATTGTAACTAATTTTACAAGCTAATTGATGGAAAGATTTATCCAATTACCTTACACTCTTTTTACCAAGAGCAACTGTTTGAACTAAATCACTTAAAATCTGTAGACTTCTATAAGTAATATCCTAGATACTCAATCTACATAAACAAGTGTCCTTAGTTAATGTTAGAGCTGGCAAAAAGGGCCAGCCCGGCCCTGTAGGGCCGGCCCTTGAAGGGCTCGAGCCTAAAAGGGCCAGCCTTTTTACACTCAAGTTCCCTTTAAGACCCTGATATTTGAAGCCCGGCCCTTGACATAGTAGGCTCAAGGTCGGCCCTGCGAGCTTTAGGCCCTTTTAACTATTTTTTTAAATTTTTTAATCAAACAAAAAATTACTTCATTCTAATATAATACTCAATCAAGAAAGGTACAAAAAAACTAACTAAATAACACCTAAATGAACTAAAAATATAAATAAAATAATAACAATGCAATAAACAATGGATCGGCTAAGCCGACAAACACCCAATCGAAATTAAAAGAGTAAATGTTGAACTGAATGAATTATTATCATGGATCTAGATGAATTAGGGAATTTAAGGTTGTATTTTTTTAAAAAAATAGTAGCCAAAGATTTATATATGAAATTTATATCAATTAAGAATTAATTGTTGTCAAAACCTGAATGAAAAATAAGCTACAATAAACTATTGTTAATTTAAAATGAGTTGTTATTAAAACTTAAATGAATACTTATTGATAAAGGCTACCCGAATTCACAAGTATCCACTCAAATTTTGACAATAAGTGATCATTGATTGATATAATTTTTGATCAGTGATTCTTCATTGTCATTTTTTCTTTTTTTTTGCCTTCCATCCTCAATAAATATGGGCTA